CACCTGGAACATATTAGAATAATTTTAAAAGCGTTAGATAATGCAGGATTAAAGTTAAACATAGATAAGTCAGAATTTTATCAATCAGAAACAATTTTTCTTGGTTTTAAGATAGATAAACATGGTATAACTATGGATCCTAAGAGATTAGATGTTATTGAATCTTATAAAACACCTAATAATTTAAAGAGTTTGAGAAGTTTCTTAGGAATGATTAACTATTTTAAAAGATTGTTGCCAAATCTGACAGAATTAGAGTTACCATTATTAAATTTGTTAAAGAAAGGTGTAAAATGGTGTTGGAATAGTGAACATGAACTTGCTTTTAAAAAGGTAAAACATGCTTTTTTACAAAATATTAAAACATTTCATGCTGATTTTAATTTAACATTTATACTGAGATGTGATGCTAGTATGTACAGATTAGCTGGTACATTATTACAAGTACAAGAAGGGATAGAAGTACCTATTTCTTTTGTATCGAGGAAAACAAAACCACATGAACAAAAATATGGTAGTAGTGAGTTAGAGATATCCGCAATAATATATTCGATTGAGAAATTAAAATTTTATTTAGTAGGTAGAAAATTCATTTTAGAAACGGATAATAGTGGTCTAATATCTTTATTAAATAATAAATTCAATAATAGCAGAATATTTCGTTGGAGTATTTTGTTACAAGAGTATGATTTTGAAATTAGACATGTTAAGGGAATTTTAAATGTTGTGTCCGATGCAATCTCTCGAATGGATGGGTACAATAAGACACTAAAACAGGTTAAAACTGGTCTGAACATATTATATAATGATAATTCAGTATTTTCTCTTAATAGCATAATACAAGATCAAAATTTACTTGATATTAAAACAAAACAAAAATCATTATATAATGGACAAACATATTTTAGAAAGTCACAAGAAAATGAGTTATACGTAATCACAAAAACACTTGCTTTAGAAATTTTACATCAATTACATATCATGTATCATCATCCAGGAAGTAGAAAACTTTGGCTATTATTTAGGGAAACATTCATTACTTCAAATGATTATAAACTTGCGAAAAACATAACGACTACTTGTTCATTATGTCAAGTTTCAAAAGATAAAAACCGACATAACGAAAATATTGCAAAAACAATATTACCAGTTGCTCCTTTACACATTATCTCTATAGATTTTATTTCAAATTTAGTTAAAACAGATAATGGTAACAAACACATTTTTGTCATACTAGATATTTTTTCAAAATATGTACAATTATACGCTTGCAAACACACAAACACAAACACAGTCAAAACATGCATAAATAAATTTATAGATGAAGTAGGCTTACCATCATATTGTATACTGGACAATGCATCGTACTTTTCAAATCAACGTATCATATCATTTTTCAATAGTCAAAACATCATTCCAAATTTCATTAGTTTTAGAAATCCTAGAGCAAATCCAACAGAAAGGTACATAAAGGAAATAATTCGGTATCTTCGTATATTAGTTGAAAACGAACATTTCTTGTGGGACACAAAATTAATGGAAATATCAGAATTCTTGAACCATACTCCAAATACTGTAACGGAAATTAGTCCACATCTACTAATTAATTCTTCACCAATTAACAGACCATGGATTTGTGAAAATATTCTCGATTATCAAAATCTTATTTTCAAAGTAGGACAGAAACTTCAACGTAATGCACACAGATACCTAAAAAGGAAAAATAAAAGTATTAAAAATAAAGTTAAATTTAATAAAGGGGACATGGTTATTGTAAAGTCTCTGCGTGTTCCTAATCCACGGAAAAGAATATCTAAAAAATTACTATTTCCATTAGAAGGACCTTACATAATTGAAAATGAACACGCAGTCAACTCATACATTTTAAAAGATCCTTTAACTAACCGAATTAGGGGAATTTTTAACATTACACAGATTTATTTGTTTAAAGATCCGAACATATTACATGATAACTAGCAATAAGTAAAGAGAACAAGATTTTATTTGTAAATTATTTTAGCAAAATAATTTAAAAATAAAATGGGGCAATTGTAATGATTTCATCATCACTCTGTATAAATGTTTTGTATAATTTAGATGGTTATTTATAAATATTGTTCAGGTCAACTATTAGAAACATTTTACGCTCCATGGTAGTTAAATCTACATCATTCAATGTCAATTTGATAATTTATAAATGTTTATTAAGAAATCGTCGATCGTAGTTTGCAAAATCACACTGTGTATTTAAAGCATGAACCACTTTGTATATAAAATAGTCACAAAACAAAGAGACATATGAAATGTCATAAAATTACGTTAGCAACAAATCAGATTCTGCATTCTGAAATCTTTTTGACAACCAATCAAAATTACAGGTATACATTGAAATTTGAATTATGAGAAACACTTAAATTAGAATTTACACAACCATTAATAATTTTGTACATACTATCGCTGTAAAATATTTATTTATACGTAAAAATAACATTCACGTCAATAAAATAATAATATCTAAGAAAAATACGTTTGACAGAAAAATATCATAACCGTGATTGGTTAGTTATAAAAAAAGTGAGAGATTGAAAAAAAAAACGGTTGCTAGGAGGTTGTTGACCGGCGGATTGGACCGGATGACAAAAAAAAAAAGGTTTTGGTAGAAAATTTTGCGAATTAATTAAATTAAAGCATATTGGAGCAATTAAAAGGTGCTTAAAAAAGTTGAATCTAATGTACTGGAAGCACTAGTACAAATAACACAGTCAGAAGCTATAATTTGGTGAGATAAATCTATTAACTATTTACCTTGTCAGGGTCCCGTATGTGTTATCGCATACCGTTATAATAGTCACATCTTGCCACTGTGCACATAAAGCCGACTTTCGTGTGCATGAAAATACATTGCTGCATCCTATAAGAAAAATAATATTTGATCTTTAGACGTTATATTCTATTCACGTGAATTTATGGTAGGAATTTAGAAGTTAATTCAGAAGGCGTTTTTCAGGCTGAACGCATCTAGCGTTCAGTTGAAATTAGTAAATCTCCAAAATAAAACAGAGACTGTCTATAATTTGGTATCATCATTCGAATTAGGGTGATATAAGTTCATTGAATATATTTTAAAATAATATACCCGCATATTAGTAAATAAATATACTGTATGTTAAAATTAATACTTACCAATTACATAAAATTATTCGAATAATTTTCACAAGTGCACTCACGGTGTTAAAAGGTCTCCATTTCGTAATAGTTATTTAACACGTAATATACATTGATACCAACATTCGAACGGAATTAGAATCTACCGTGAGTGAAACTGATTTGGTAATAGATTTAAGGTGGTAGTTAATCTTGTTTTTTTTTTGCATTTTATGATAATATTATATGTCCATTTACATCCAAATCATTATTATAGTTGTTGTGTTCTGATTCGTGTTTCATTATATAAAAAGATTTACAACTAAATAACAATTTAAAAAAAAATTTGGTTAAGACATCTATTGGTGGGTAGTAAAAGTTCATCACAGAAGAATAAGATAGATTTGCAGAATATAGCAGAACACCTGTCTGAGATTAGAATCTCTACTCTTCGACTAGCTACAGACCAGGCATAATAATAATAAAAAAAAAAATATTGAATAATAGTCCAGTCAAAGAAATTTAAAAAAAAAAAAAATAAAAAAAATAAATTCATATAAAACTCAGGACAAACTAACAATTGAAACCAAATAAATTAATTCCCATATATTATTAAATAAATCATTACAATATATATATATATATATATATATATATATATATATATATATATATAAGAACACCAATAAATTTTTGTAGCTCAGTTGACTTTAAAACGAACTTCGTCTGAATATCTGTTTGTCGTGCGTATAAGTTGGTCAGTTCGGTAATATGCTGAAACAATTCGTCATTCATAAAATAGCGAAAACAGTCATACGGAGTTTTCAATTGCTTCAAATAATTTGGCAAGTCTTTTGGTCCTTGAAATATTAATTCATTGACGTGTACCTAAACCTTTTTCTTTCTCCATGTAATATTTTTCAATTCTGCACACTCGTTATTGACAGTCATAATATCTCCAATAAACGTTCCAGTAGTGGGGACATTAGGCCCACCTTCTTCTTCAATTAGGTCCGGTGATAGAGGACGTTTTGAACGTTTTTTGTATGTTGTGAGGGGTGCTGGACCAGTAGCATTAGTCTGATCAGAAATTTCGTCATTAGGGATTGCAGATGATGAATTAGCATCGTTAGGTCCTATTGAAGTCTCACCAGTTGATTTCTCTTGATAATTCAGCTCGTCCAACTCATCTTCCGCAGTTACCAAATGATTTGAACACGTGTCGATATCATCATCAGTATCTCAATCTGATTCGTCCTCATCGCTGGTGTCAATATCTGTAGGGATCTCATCCATCATTTCATGGATTTGATCGTCAGTCATATTTTCTAAGCCCAAATATTTTCTTCGCCAAGCCATAACTGAAAATGTACATAATCTAAGTCTAACTTTTGATATTGCAGTTTCCTAACTTTTAAAGAACACTCAGTATAGTCTTCTACAAATATATAATTTTTCTTAAACAAGGGAATAAACGATTATTACCTCTCTTCCAAAAAATAAGACAAATCAATGAATAGCGGTAATTAATTTTTTTGATACTTCTAATGCATAGGTCCGCCTACAGGCGGTTAAGACTTTTATGGAGCTCTAGGAGCCCTAAATATTTTTTTGTAATAACCCTCACAAAAAACTAAAGGTATAAGGTATACACTACTTACCGATAATTTTTTCAGCACCAAAAAACCTCTGGAAATATTTTTAAAAAATTCACGGTTCACAGATATCTGAATTTTATACCCGCTCTTGACAATACTGTGATTTTACACAGGTGTTATTTTTAAATGTCAGTCGTAGCGACAACCAATTATACACAACATCGTAGAGTGTGGTATAACTTTAGGGTGGGTTATACTTTAAACATAAAAATAATTGATTTCTAGATAAACTTTAGTGTTACAATCAAGTCCGCCTTGAGGCAGAGGAATGCAGTAGAGGGTTAAGTTGAAATATGTTTGTCCAACATTCTGATTACATGGGGTTTGAGGAATATTAAATGGTTGTCCATACACACGTCCTGTGTTGCCCCATGGATTGTTCCATCCTGTTTCACTGCCAGTAACGTATTGTTGTTGGGACTGATCAGATGGTAGTGATATCATTGGTTGTTCGGACCGATCGGAATGTGGTGACACCATTGGTTGTTCGGACCGATTGGAATGTGGTGACACCATTGGTTGTTCGGACCAATCGGAATGTGGTGACACCAATGGTGTCTGTACGGCTACGCTACTGCTTGTAGAAGTGGCAGATGATTGTGGCCTGGTATTTAAGTATTCACTTTCTGCCTTTACAATTGCTTCCATTTTCTCTTGTTTAACTCTGAGCTGCAAATAGCGTGGTAGGTTTTTGGTGCTCTCGCAAGCACTTGCAAAAAAGTAATTGAGCTCCCCATTTTTGTTTTTAGTGCTCTCTTTCTTACTTAGAAATGTTATAACTTTTTGAACTCCATCATTTTCTTTCTCAACGTTCTTCCTGTTACTTTTTAAAGATTTGTTATAACGTGGACCTTGGCTGTTTAATGCAGAGTTAGACTGGTCATCTTCTAACGCATTTTCTTCCCCTTCATGCTGCCCCTGGGTGTCATCATTAGCTTCGATTGGTTCTACATTGTCCGAGTTTTCATCGTCAGGATCAAGAACGTTGGACTGAGAGCTGTAAAAATATAAATTTATTGCACGTTTTATTTATTTGCTATTTTTAATTTACCTTCTTGGCAATGTATTCGATGCAAGAAAAGACATCAACTCTTCGTACTTCCAAGGTTTTGTTTTTGTTGCAGATTGTCCACTCTTGGTTTTTCTTCTTAACATGGCTTGTCTGTAACAATCTTGCAGTTTTTTCCACTCACGTTTCATGTCATCTACTGTAATTTTTGTTTTATTAGCTATTTATTGATAGAAAAAAATCAGAATTAACAATAAATAATAAACACTTGTATATGGCTTTGCGCACCCCTCGACAAATACCGTCGAATAAAAATTTTTTTAATTTATTATTGCTTTTCTTTGTTGTAGGTACCTTGCAACTGGGAATTCGTTTCGGTCAATGGCTTTCACATATCGCATGGGCAGAGCGACTATAAGCAACATTGTCGAAGATGTGTGTGATACCATTTGGAAAAACCTTCAGCCTATAGTTATGCCGGAACCTAATACAGATATTTGGAAAGCATCTGAAAGTGTATTTCAAGAAAAGTGGAACTTTCCTCACTGCGTTGCTGCGATAGATGGCAAGCATGTCCGAATCAAAGCAGCTCCGACACAATGCTCACAATTCTTTAACTACAAGAAATACCACTCCATTGTTTTATTAGCACTTGTTTACGGCAATAAAAGATTCCTTTCTGTTGACGTAGGGCAATATGGAAGAGTTAGTGATGGGAATGTTTTTATGAATAGCAGTATGGGAAAGCGCTTGACAAGACAAACTTTTGGATTACCTCCTGATGAAGATTTATGTGGAGATTTGTTACCTTATGTTATCGTGGCAGACGAAGCATTTCCGCTTAAAAGATTTCTGATGCGTCCTTATCCAAGGTCCGCTCGAAGGCCTTCCGAGTCTGAAAGAATATTTAACTACAGGCTTTCAAGAAGTAGAAACACAGTAGAAAATCTTTAATCTCTCTCAATTTTCCTCTACCAGTAAATTTGACATCCCTTCTAACAAGCACCGATAAACATATCCTCGATATTTTAATTAAATTTATATGCGATACTAAGCTAGATATTTAAGACATTACTTCTCTTATTTCTTTCTTTTCTGTATTCCGTTTTTATTATTTAAACATTCTGTAGCAAATGGACACCGTCCGAAGCCATATCTCTCACACAACACACAACAAAACGCCTTTGGCATTCTTGCAAGCGTTTGGAGAAGTTATCAAACGCCACTGGAATGTCGCATTGATCTTGCTGAGAAAATAATTTTAGCAACTATCGTTCTTCACAATTATATCCATGAGACACCTACACAAGGTAAGCCTGGAGTTGTAAACGAAGAGGTACAGAACAACCCCTTAGTGCCACTGCATGTAGCTGCTGCAACAAATGCAACAAGGGACGCAATTCAAATTCGGAATTTATTTAGGAATTATTTTATGTCTAATGAGGGCCAAGTTTCATGGCAAGAGACAGTAGTAAATCGTATAAACTAGATAAATTACAATATATGATATCATACCTTACCTGGTTTTTTTAATTCATTAGATATCCTTTCCCGGGCATTATCTCGTATATTTTGATTTCTATAAGATTCCAGGCTTTTGTTCCACAGACAATCATGCTTCCGCACTTCTTCAATTAACAGTTCGAGGAACGACATTTTCCTTCGACAGATCACACTACACTGAAGCAAAAATCACCACGGCAGCCCTCGCGATGTGTTGAATATTGCCGAGAATCAAACATTGGGCGACGTGGCTTAGATCGCGAACATAGCGTACCAGTGTCGGTGTGGCCGGGTACGTGTAAAATACCAATGGCTAATTTTGGAATGCATCGCGAACAAAGCGTACGTAGCGCTCTATGTGGCCTCGGCATAAAACTCATGGATTATTTTTTTTTAGATTCCTAGATACCGCATTGGTAATTTTGAAAAATCAGTTACTGATCATTAGAGGGCGGAATATATGCATCAAAATATGCGCATATATATATATATATATATATATATATATATATATATATATATATATATATATATATATATATATATATATATATTGTTATGTTAATTATTATAATTATTTTTTTTTTTAATATATTTTATCACTCTGTATATGTATAACACTATTTATTTTTTTTTTAATAAACTATTTTGTTATTAATTTTTTTTTTTGTACGCCACTGATTTTAATATTTTAATTTATTTATATTTCATTTAAACAAATTTCACTTACCTTTTTCTTTTATTTATTTATTTTTTTTAATCACCAGCTAACTCAATTCCCTTCATACACTATTTTATTTTAAGAGCAGAGATCTCTTATCTCCAAAGGAGTGGTTTCCATTTGTTAATTTAAATAATACAATTTTTGAATTATTAGTTATTACAAATGAATTTGATTTTATTTAATATTGAATGAATTTCAATACACCCTGTAGATAATATTAGTTTTTTTTTTATACCAAAATGTTTAATATTTTAATATTCTCTTTCAACACTCTGTATATATTTATTATTTTTTTTTTTTAATGAATATACTGTATTCTTTATTTTACCTGTATATTTAATTTTCCATAATAAAACCAATTCTAATTATCAAATAAACACTGAAATACTACAAAATACATATATAATTCCAACAAATAAACAATTTTAAACATGTGTACTATAGTTTTCTGTTGTACATGAAAATACCCTATGAATAATACCCTTGTACCATGTTAGGTACCTAAAATATAAGAAAATGTTTCATCTATCTATATTACAATGTCAAAACAAATTAGATGTTTTTTTGTGTAAATAGCAAACGTCATTAAATTATCTTGCAATTATAAAACAAACTAAACATTTTTAAACAAATGTACCACAATTTTTGTTGTACATTAAACTTAACTATGAATAAACCTGTACCATGTTAGGTACACAAAATTTAAGAGAAAGTTACATCTATCTATATTGATTGCAATGTGAAAACGACTTTTGAAGTTTCCCAGTTTTAATATTCTTAACCAAGAATTTTAGACTTGTGTACTGCAAAATACATGTCTAAATTATTTTATATTATGGATAAACCCATTATAAAGAATGAATTTAAACAGTAATGACTGATAAGAATTATTTATGGAACATCTAATTATGTTTTATGGATAGTAAAACGCACTGATTATATCTACAATTGTTACAAGGTAAATATACAATCATTGTAGGTTATTTAATAAACCTTGTTTTGTTTTTTTAATAAAGTTAGTAGTTTTAAAATTCAATTTTAAACTATACCTTTGTCTGTTTCTTTTTAAGCACTGTTTACTGTCTTCATCAGTCCAAGGAAAAGTAAACTAAATATTTACTCTGGTCTCTGGTTCGGTGATACCTGCTTAGTTCCAAAGCAAATACCTATCCTATTCGCCATGAAGATTGTCCATGTACCATATTGTTGTCTTGACAACAAATTCAATAGACTGGTAGGTTTTTTAATTCACTAATTTTTTAAAGATTAATTAACTTTACTTACATAACTTTCTGATACATTTAAGCAACAGTACAGATGACAACTAATACTTATTACTATAAATTAGTTAATTAAAATCGGTTTCATTATTTTACTAAATTTTACTTTTTTTTTTGTAAAATGGATGTTTTTCAAAAAATTTCTACCCACTGCAATTGTTTTCTACATAACGACCGATGTACAAATTTAGCCAAATATGCATAAAGTCTAATTGACCAATAAGAATAGTACTTCTATTTTAAATTTTGATCTAGCTTTGAATAAGGTGAGTTTATTAAGAATATCACTTGTAATTTAATAATCTATATTTTTCTAATACGTTTACATTGATTTTATATTTATAGGAGTATAATATTTTTAAATTATTGTTATTTTTTAACTAGTTATTTTTGTTGGCACAACTGTCAATTCAATATTTGAAGTTAGTTGTCATTCTTATTAATTTTCAATTCATATATACAGGGTGTCATTTTAAATTCTTATCAATTTACAAATTAATCAAATTCATTTTAGGTTCAAAAGTGGAAATTTGTACAAATAATTGTACGAATAAGTGAAAAATATTTAAAGGAAATTACTAATTTAATAAACCAACTGTACACAGCATTAATCAGGACATTTTCTTGGAATTTGATGGGATTTATTTATTTATGAAGACCATGAAGGTAATACTTTATTCTACTTATTAATTGTTTTTATCTTCTACTTTGCTACATCTCAAAATTCCCCCAAATTAATGTTCATACAATTGCTTATAAGTAATTGTTGGACATTCATTTACTTCTACTACATTTACTATTATGTATTATGTATATATTTTTAGAATTTTTTTTTTTAATACTTTTATTTTGTCATTGTCGTGTAATTTGTATTGATATTATGTTCGTTTGTATGTTTGTCTAATGTCATTCCAAAAATCTGTATATCTGACTAATATGAAATATTCCCCTTATTTTATTTGTGTCAGGATCTATAAGTACATAACTATTTTCCCCTTCTTCATTCTCTACTTTATAAGGTCCCTCATATGGATTTTGTAGTTTGGCACATCGATTGTTCCTATAATCGGCTACTTGTAATGCTTTAACAATGACTAAGTCACCTTTGTTAAATTTTGTTCTTTTTTTTATTTTCTTGTTCTGTTTACTAATATATTTTTCTGCTTGTTTCTTAAGTCTTTCATTTACTAATCTCATTATTTCTTCTTTATTTTTAGGAGCTGTATTTATCCACATACGATCTGGCATAATTCCTTTTAATAGGAAAATAGGAGTCTCTTTTGTCTGAGTATTTGGTGCTTCATTCAGATAACACTGGATGTCATTCAGATGCATGTCCCATGCTTCATGATTTTGGTAAGTTAATATTCTTAAATAAGTAATAACTTCCTTAATATATCGCTCTGATGGATTTGCTGCTGGATGGCGTATACTTGTAAATTGTGGTTTTATTGAATTTGCTATTAAAAATTGTTTAAATATATCGTTATTGAAATATGTTGCATTATCTAAAATGCACATTTTAGGCTGACCAACTTCTTCAATGTAATTTTTTAGTAATATTTTTAATATTTTAGTATTTGTCCTTTTGCATGGGTATAATTTAATATATTTTGAATAAATATCAACGATAACTAATAAATGTTTGTTTCCATTTTGAGTTTTTGTTAAATTTGACAAAAAA